GCAGCATTGACAATGTGTTGAGCTTCTTGCTCTGCACCTAAAAGGAGTTGAATTCCGTTCTGGCTGCCTCTGTTGGATTCCATACTCGTCTGATATAGTTATGGAACTACAATAAGAAAGAAAATATGTGTCTTAAAAATATGGATAATATATGAGGAACACAATTACCAATTATTCAGCAGAAATGTGAGCAGGCTGTGAAACTATATGGTAAAAGGAACAGCCATGACGTCTTTTTTGCAAAACTTTTATAGCATTTGTCAAGACCAAAATTACAAGTATTACATGTGAAAAGAAAAACCACAAGTAGCTCATTTACAACATGATTAAATCTAAGGACCAGATTCTTACTAGGATCTTTTTCTCGTGTGTAGTCCAGGTTGTACATTTATAGGACGAACTTCGAACTATCCAACATTTAGGCTACACGGAGATGGATCATAAGTGGGACAGGGAAAACACATGTATTTCACATGTTAACACAGTAACACACTTTAATTACTAATTCTATGCCAGCAAAAAATTGGGATGTCCCTGCAATAGCTTTGGTGGTCATTCCAATTTCAGCTATCCTATAGTTTATTAAGGCCTCATTTGTTTTTTATTAAGATATCATGATGCGTATTAAGATTAAGACATCTGAACCTGAATACACATCTGAATATTAAGATGTGCATTAAGATCTGAATACTAAATGATTAAGACTGTTTGATTTTTAATATCTGAATGTATAAAATTTATCTTTATTTAAAAATTAATAAACATAAAATTCAAACGAAATACTAATTAATCTAATATTTTATCAATAAAATATATAGTTTTTTAAAATATGGTAGTTGGTGGTGGTGATGGCTAACGATGGTGCTTGTGAATGCCGACTAGAGGCGGTGGTTGGTGGTAGTTTTGGTTGATGGTGGTGGTTTATGGTAGTAGCTAGTGGTGATTGGTAGCGGTGTCGATTATAATTGAGGATGGTAGTGGTGGATGGTGATAGTTAATAATGGCGGGTGGTGGTGGTAGTTGTGATTGAGGAAGATAGCGGTGGGCGGTGGTAGTTTATAATGATGGGCAGTGCTGACTATGGTTGTTGATGGTGATGGGGTGGTTAGTTGTGATAGTTGAGGTAGATGAGTATTGGTTGTTGTTGAGGATGATGGTGGTGGGAGTGGTGGGGATGGTGGGTGGTGGTAGTCGATAATGGTGACGGCTATGATTGAGGATGATGGTGGTGGTGGTGGTGGGTGACATGGTGGTAGTTGATAATGGCAGGCAGTGGCGGCATTTAATAATAAATATAGATGATAGCATCTTAATGAAATTAAATCTCTGTTATAGATTTTAATCATACATACCTATTCAGACCCATTAAGTGGTTGTAAAGTAAAAAAAAAAAAAAAAAAAAAATTNAAAAAAAAAAAAAAAAAAAACATTTAATGATTAAGATCTGAATAATTAAGATTCAGACTTTAAAAACAAACACACTTAATATCTAAAATCTGAATGATTAAGATTCAGACCTCCATTAAATGCAAACAAATAAGGCACGGTTCCCATCTAGAATGAAAAGAATCCTAGGTCAAATACTTATGAGCTCCGAACTTGGTAAAATTTTGAACTAACGAATGCCTTACTGTTAGCTTTGAGCTAATGGAGGAAAAAGATTCTTGGCTCAATGGTAATAAGCAAGGTATTCCTACAACTTTTTAAATGGCCCAACTAAATGGAAACCCTGCCCATGAAATTTAACTCCTCTCCTGTGATTCGACTAAACAAACTACAATAAATCCAATAATCATTACAATCAAATACTAAACCTACTTAGCAAAAGAAGGAAAAACTAGAGCATTAGCGATTAACTTGGGAAAGAATCAGAAAACCACATGAAACTGCGAACTGTCAACCATCCCCCACTTCTTCCCAATCCCAAACTCAAAAAAAGATATTTCATACAAGCTACACCTCCTAGAATCTAGAAGCATAGCTATGTGTATCGACAGGGGTTCAATTAAATCTCCTTCATCATAAAGTTATAATGTTCATATAGGACAAAACCAACTTTTTTTGTATATATCAAATTGCTGAATCCCCTAGATAGCCAAGTGTCACTTATTGTGCAAATTTACATTTTTTTGAATCCCCTTGTTAGAATTTCTGACTCTGTCACTACAAAAATCGCTCTATAGAAATAATAGATCCATCAATAAACAAATATATCACTGTCAACAAGTCAAACAGATAAAGCATAAGCATTTTCCAGAAGCAAGTCGATCAATCACCTCAATTCAAAATTAGTTATAATTAACTACATGAATCCTCTGCATCCATTCCGCTTTCATCACAATTTGTATATTTACACAATGCCGGTCAACCAACTACAAACCTTCTAACTCATTATGGTTTGCGAATCTCACATAGACCGAGTTATTTTGTAGAACCAAATAGTTGACTATGTAAACTAAAGCGGAGTAAAATTCGAAGGAAGAATATATCAAAGCACGTGAAACAATCATCCGATCCAAATCTAATCTATTGAAGCTGAAATTGGCAGATTGCAAATCAAAACACACACACACACACACACACACACACACACACACACACAGAAGATGAGGAGTTAATGTAAGAAGAGAGAGAAGTACCTGTAGAAAGAAACTGAGTTTAGGAATGGTGGAGCGGAAGTCGAATTTGCCTTTGTTTGGTTCTTTGCAGAAAGAGCTTAGACTATGAAGTATATGATTTACGGAGAGGGATATAAAGTTATAAACTGTCATGTCCCCTTTTCTTTCTCTTTTTTTTCTTTTTCTTTTTTCTCTTGCTAAAATTTGAAATTGTTGGGTGAAAATATAGTTACAAATTGAAAAATAGAAATAAAAAATAACAAATTTTTCATGCTGAAATATAGATATCTTGTTCTTTTTAAGAAAATTCAAGCCTTTTCTTTTAGTACATTAGAAAATACTAAAAAGTATTGAAATCTTTCATAAGCTACCTTGCTTAAATCTGCTAAGAGCAAGAACTTTATTTCTTGAGCGACTGTAATATGTTTTGAGACTTGTTGGTGTGTTCGAACAGGGTCCCGAGGGGATCGGATGAGTTTCGGGAGTGGTTTTGAACCATTTCTAGGCAATTTTTAGTTGTTGGTTCTTGGCTACAACAATGTGCATTGCGATCGCAGACTTTGGGTCGCATTCGCGATGAGTAAAATGGAAAAAAGGGCACCTGTGAATCGCGTTCGCGGAGGGTTCTTCGTGTTCGCGAAGAAGAAATTCTTCTGTCACTGAGCCGACTTTGGAAGCTTATATTTTGCAATCTATAAGGAATTTGGAGATGACCCAAAATTGAAAGTTGTAGCCCTTGGTATCTAGTTTTCAGAAAGTCAAACCGTTTATCATTTAGAGTTTTGTACAAAAAGTTATAGCCATGTGCTGTGGGATGGCATTTCTAGAGTGTCGTTTGGCTTGCTCGGTATTTGTCTTGGCTTGTTTGAGGTAAATATCTTATTTAAACTTGGTTGAGGCACTAGTTTGCCTGAATTATTTGTGATAGCTACGTGTTATGGGTGCGTGCATGCATGGGGTTTGAACCCATGTGCTGACACCGGGGGTATTTATCCATGCTCGGGTTGTGTTTAGGCTATGATAAGCCTATAATTGATTGTTAAGCTTTAAGTTATGATCTTTCTCATATTTGTAACATTGTGTGAACTATTTGAGCCGTGTTTGAGGTTACATAGAGGTTTAATCCCTGAATGAACTTGATAAATGCTATTCTGTGATGAAATTGCCGATTTGAGCTTTGATAGCACACTCTGCACATGCCTACACTTTAGCATGTCATTTATACCAGTCCAGGAGCATGAGATTTGTTATTCATTCATCACATACATGTATTCTTGTTTATTTGCTCTTGTGTGATATGATTGGTGTCACGACCCAAAATCCATCTAGTCGTTATGGCACCTAACCCAACCCGTTAGGTAAGCTAATTAATAACTATCTAATTTAATGAGATTTATTAGGAAAAGAAATAATAATATAATTGCTTTTATACAAGAATTTCCCAAGGACTAGTAGTACAAATCATGAGCTTTTAAGATTCAGAATTTACAAAGCTGGTGTGAAATAAAAATACATCATCCGTTTGAAATATATATGAACAGATTAATAATTCTAGAGCTACCAAGAACAGGAGGAATCTGTGACTGGATCGCAGGTACATCCTCAATGCCAGCTCCCGCCATACGTAGCAACATCAACATCCCAAAATCTGCACGCAAGGTGCAGAAGTGTAATATGAGTATGACCGACCCCATATACTCAATAAGTAACAAACCTAACCTTAGGTTGAAAGTAGTGACGAGTTGGGACAAGGGCCAGAGTCTAATTCCAATAACCAGCAACAATTCATAAGA